ATGATTGCAAGTTGTTGCGAGTCAGTGACTGCTTTAGTGTTAAAATATGGTGCTGTATTTTTAGGATAGTGTGTTTATAATATCATTTTATGTAGATATCCACATTTATTTAATATTTTTCTTCCGCAGTTTTTATTGGAAATGAAATATTTGATATCTCAAAAACCTGATGTGATAGACAAAAACTGATGCCAGATTTGGAATCAACACCCCAAAATTACCTTATAAAAACCGTTGGAATACCTTATGCCAGAAAAAAGTGTGTTGACCAGTGTTATTAACTCTAGCCTCAAGAAGTCGGTTAAGAGCACAGTTAACAGTGGTGCACCAAACACCGTTAACGACACAACGCAACACATCCGTCAATAACACCGTGACCTTCAAATAAATAGTACGTCATAGGCGACGTTTCGGGCGTTGCCCCTTTATTCAACACAAATGTGACGTGCTCTAAAGAAGAGTCATGCACCGAGACGTCGCCTGTCATTGCCTTCTTATTTTAAGGCTGCGATGTTCTTGACGTAATAGGCGACGTTTCGGGCGTTGCACCTTTATCACAAATGATCCTTATGGCGGTGCTACGTGACCCCGCCATGAGGTTAAAATGTGACGTGCTCTGAAGAAGAGTCGTGCACCGAAACGCCGCTTTCATTGCCTTCTTCTTCTTGTAAGGCTACGGTGTTCTCGACGATTGTGCTCAGTCGTCATACTTTATAAGCTATATAATGTGTACGTTTGACCTGATGTGCATGTCTTGATTGATACTGGGAAGCAAGCTTTGGGTGAGTCTTATTTGCCGGTGTCTTATAATCCGGATAATACGATATTATTGAACGTAATAATTTGATGCTGCGATTGTCAAGTTAAAACTTTGCAAAACTGTGAACGGTGTCAGATAAAGCGCGAAGCAATGAATGTGGCTGTCGGCCGTTTGATTCTTAATTCTATTGTTAGAAGCGCAGACTCAGAGCCGCACTGCTCTCATTAACAATCCAACATAGACACCCACTTCTTCTTCATATGCGTACACGCGTATCTATATTTATATTCAGTTCCAAGACTTACACTCGCAATGTAACACACCGCACTGAATTAATTCACATGCAGATTATGTAACTCATTCGTATTGATATAATTTAGCCATACATAGACGCTAACTCACGTAACTCGTTTACGGAGAGTAACTCAAGTAACATTTAAAACCATCAACTTTCTCACGCCTTATCATTCACCTCTGCTGTCTTGTGTTCATATTTAATTGTATCGTATTCATCAACATTGACATTGACCTCTTCAACGTAATTATCTTTTGCAAACTACCACAGTCTATCTTCTTGGTTCTTTCGGTAAAGTCACGTCGAGGCGACAGAGTCTGAATGGCTCTGTCGCCTCGACGGACCTGGTTTTCACCTGAGGACGGCTGCTTGCGTTGTGGCCGAAACGTCGTGAGAATTGTTTTATTATGTTTTATTTTTATTATTTTATTACTTCCCTTCTACGTGACTTTACCGAAAGAACCAAGAAGATGAATCCCTGCAGTCACGAAAGCTTTAAATCGAAATACTACAGTCTAATCTTAATTTTAGAACTTTCGTGACTGCAGTAAATGTTTATTTGGTTCTTTCGGTTAAGTCACGTCTAAAGATAAAATAATAAATTAAATTAAATAATAGCATACGACGTTTCGATTGCAACACAAGCAATCATCATCAGGTATAATGAAATAGCGACATAAAATCTAACCAGAAAACTATAGACAGACATATTAGCAGACAGATATCACCAAGATACATAGAGGAAGCAACACAGGAACCAGAGAGGGGTGATCATCTCTGTGGGGTGGCCTTAAATAGACAGAGGGGGGAGGAGGCAGAGAGAGGGAGGGGGTTAGGGAAAACATTTGCATATCAATGAGTGGTCCAAAAAACAAGGTTCTGCAAGTGCGATGACACGGCAAGCAAGTCTGAAAATCAGAAGGACAAACTAAAATTCAATAACCTAGCAACATATCGAAATGTAATGTAATACAACACAGAGAGTCGGTCAACACACAATTAACGCATAGCCTGGTTGATTACGTATTTAAAAGATTGCTAAGTTAGAATTTAAATGTGAACATTCCAAAGAGAAGACACCAGCATTGACGTCTCCAAAATATGATAATTGTTTTTTTACCATGTTCTTGGTCCTTTCGGTAAAGTCACGTAGAAGGCAAACAATAAAATAATTAAATATAAAACAATAAAATTCTCACGACGTTTCGACTGCAACACAAGCAATTATCTGGCAACAAAACTGACACCTTTTTTACAAGGAGTCATGTTTGTATTGACCACAATACCTGCGGTCGTAATGCAAACAAAAAACACAACGATGATCATCATTTGCAACATTAGCATTTTTTGTAACAATAGAGGTTATTCATTATGACCAAATCACCTGCAATGCAACGCGATCTCGTCAGAGCTGGGAATCAGAGCACGGTTGACCCTGAATAGTGCTTGGATGGATGACCACAAGAAGGGTTTTAATCAGATGCGAGGTTACATGGTGGGCAGCAGAGGGCAGTGCAGTACAAGCCGTTGTTATACTGTTTGTCTATGCTCCACAACATTCTATACCCAGTGTATATTCAAAAGACGTAGTGTGACTTGAAAATGATGTCCAATGTATTACTTGCAAATGTGGATTTAACGTGTCCAGAATTTTAATTGGTGCATATTGCAGCAACCAGGAATGACACATGCTGCACAAGCATTGTATGCACCAATCTTGGGCGGCAAGTTTTTCCTTTTTTTACATCTTACATAATGAAACATGGATTATTTTAAGCGTTAAGGAATAATCTTAATTTTGGAGCTTTCGTGACTGCAGGAATGGGGTCTGGCTTAGTGTGGCATGGGGTCTGGCTTAGTGTGGCAAGGGGCTTAGTGTGGCATGGGGTCTGGCTTAGTGTGGCAAGGGGCTTAGTGTGGCGTGGGGTCTGGCTTAGTGTGGCAAGGGGCTTAGTGTGGCATGGGGTCTGGCTTAGTGTGGCAAGGGGCTTAGTGTGGCATGGGGTCTGGTTTCGTGTGGCAAGGGGGTCTGGCTTAGTGTGGCATGGGGGTCTGGCTTAGTGTGGCATGGGGTCTGGCTTAGTGTGGCATGGGGTCTGGCTTAGTGTGGCATGGGGTCTGGCTTAGTGTGGCATGGGGTCTGGCTTAGTGAGGCATGGGGTCTGGCTTAGTGTGGCATGGGTCTGGCTTAGTGTGGCATGGGATCTGGCTTAGTGTGGCATGGGGTCTGGCTTAGTGAGGCATGGAGTCTGGCTTAGTGAGGCATGGGGTCTGGCTTAGTGTGGCATGGGTCTGGCTTAGTGTGGCATGGGGTCTGGTTTCGTGTGGCATGGGGTCTGGCTTAGTGAGGCATGGAGTCTGGCTTAGTGAGGCATGGGGTCTGGCTTTGTGTGGCATGGGGTCTGGCTTAGTGAGGCAAGGGGTCTGGCTTAGTGTGGCATGGGGTCTGGCTTAGTGTGGCAAGGGGTCTGGCTTAGTGTGGCAAGGGGACCTGGCTTAGTGTGGCAAGGGGCCTGGCTTAGTGTGGCAAGGGGGTCTGGCTTAGTGTGGCAAGGGGGTCTGGCTTAGTGTGGCATGGGGTCTGGTTTAGTGAGGCATGGAGTCTGGCTTAGTGTGGCAAGGGGGTCTGGCTTAGTGTGGCATGGGGTCTGGTTTAGTGAGGCATGGGTCTGGCTTAGTGTGGCAAGGGGGTCTGGCTTAGTGTGGCAAGGGGGTCTGGCTTAGTGTGGCATGGGGTCTGGCTTAGTGTGGCAAGGGGTCTGGCTTAGTATGGCATGGGGTCTGGCTTAGTGAGGCATGGAGTCTGGCTTAGTGTGGCAAGGGGGTCTGGCTTAGTGTGGCAAGGGGGTCTGGCTTAGTGTGGCAAGGGGTCTGGCTTAGTGTGGCATGGGCCTGGCCTAGTGTGGCATGGGGGTCTGGCTTAGTGTGGCAAGGGGTCTGGCTTAGTGTGGCATGGGGGTCTGGCTTAGTGTGGCATGGGGTCTGGCTTAGTGTGGCATGGGGTCTGGCTTAGTGTGGCATGGGGTCTGGCTTAGTGTGGCATGGGGTCTGGTTTAGTGTGGCATGGGGTCTGGCTTAGTGTGGCAAGGGGTCTGGCTTAGTGTGGCAAGGGGTCTGGCTTAGTGTGGCAAAGGGGTCTGGCTTAGTGTGGCATGGGGACCTGGCTTAGTGTGGCAAGGGGACCTGGCTTAGTGTGGCAAGGGGTCTGGCTTAGTGTGGCATGGGGACCTGGCTAAGTGTGGCATGGGGTCTGGCTTAGTGTGGCATGGGGTCTGGCTTAGTGTGGCATGAGGTTTGGCTTAGTGTGGCATGGGGTCTGGATTAGTGTGGCATGGGGACCTGGCTTAGTGTGGCATGGGGACCTGGCTTAGTGTGGCATGGGGTCTGGCTTAGTGTGGCATGGGGTCTGGCTTAGTGTGGCATGAGGTTTGGCTTAGTGTGGCATGAGGTTTGGCTTAGTGTGGCATGGGGTCTGGCTTAGTGTGGCATGGGGACCTGGCTTAGTGTGGCATGGGGACCTGGCTTAGTGTGGCATGGGGTCTGGCTTAGTGTGGCATGGGGACCTGGCTTAGTGTGGCATGGGGACCTGGCTTAGTGTGGCATGGGGACCTGGCTTAGTGTGGCATGGGGTCTGGTTTAGTGTGGCAAGGGGACCTGGCTTAGTGTGGCAAGGGGTCGGGCTTAGTGTGGCATGAGGTCTGGCTTAGTGTGGCATGAGGTTTGGCTTTGTGTGAAAATTGTATCTGGCTTTGCGTGGCATTGGGGGGTGGGGTGTTCGAAGGAAAGCGTGAAGGCGTGGCTAACCCTGAAAGGGGCGGTTCTAATCTGGTGGGCGGGGCTTACATTGGAAAGTGGGCGGGGTGGTAAGGTGTGGGTCGCCCCCACCCCCTCGTCCCCCCGCCCCCTCGGTGCGCGCCGGCTCCTTAGAGCTGCCAGACGCTCCAGAGGGAGGAGGAGGAGGTGGTGCTGGTGGTGGTGGCGTGCGTGAGAGAGCGAGCGAGAGAGCGAGAGAAAGCCCCCTTTGTGTGTGAACGAAGAGGAAGCCCGCCTGGCAGGGGCCATGCAGGACGCGGGCGCCAGGCAGCGCAAGCCAGCCTCCAGCGGCAGCGGCTCCTCGGGTGCGGACGGCATGGGAGCTCCCTCCGCCACCGGCACCACCACGGGCAGCACCACGGGCAGCAGCAGCACCACGGGCAGCAGCAGCAAGGGAGCGCACGTGCTGGGTAAGGGTCGCTGCGCGGTCGTGACAGCGGCAGAGCGGTTGGAGTGGGGGAGGTGTAGGGGGTGGTGGTGGTGGGGGGTGGTAGTGGTGGGTGGGGGAGGGTGGTGGGGGGGGTGGTGGTGGTGGGGTGGTGGTGGTGGGGGTGGTGGTGGTGGTGGGGGGGGTGGTGGTGGTGGTGGGGGGGGGGTGGTGGTGGTGGTGGGGGGGGGTGGTGGTGGTGGTGGGGGGGGGTGGTGGTGGTGGTGGGGGGGGGTGTGGTGGGGGGGGTGGTGGGGGTGGTGGTGGGGGGGGTGGTGGGGGTGGTGGTGGGGGGGGTGGTGGGGTGGTGGTGGGGGGGGTGGTGGGGGGGGTGGTGGGGGTGGTGGTGGGGGGGGGGGTGGTGGGGGGTGGTGGTGGGGGGGGTGGTGGGGGTGGTGGGGGGGGGTGGTGGGGGGGGTGGTGGGGGGTGGTGGGGGTGGTGGTGGGGGGGGTGGGGGTGGTGGTGGGGGGGGGGTGGTGGGGTGGTGGTGGTGGGGGGGGGTGGTGGTGGTGGTGGGGGGGGGTGGTGGTGGGTGGGGGGGGGTGGTGGTGGGTGGGGGGGGGTGGTGGTGGGGGGGGGGGGTGGTGGTGGTGGTGGGGGGGGGGTGGTGGTGGGGGGGGGTGGTGGTGGGGGGGGGTGGTGGGGGTGGTGGTGGGGGGGGGTGGTGGGGGGGGGTGGTGGTGGTGGTGGTGGGGGGGGGGGTGGTGGGGGGGGGTGGTGGGGTGGTGGTGGGGGGGGGGTGGTGGTGGGGGGGGTGGTGGTGGTGGGGGGGGGAGGTGCAGGGGGTGGTGGTGGTGGGGGGTGGCAGTACTAACGCAGTGCAGTAACAAGGCGGTGTGTAGCAAAGGCAGGGCTCCAGAACGACGACAACAACAACAACAACAACAAAAACCCACAACAAAGCAGCGCAATGCAGTGGGGACGTCGCGGCGCGGTTCCAGCAACGGCACCGCGATCAGCCCGGGGCTGAACTCCGGAAAATGTTTGCCCGCTTCAGCTCCCTCGCTGTTGGGGGTGCTGGACAGCAGCATGCAGCACAGCACAGGACTGAGTGTGTGTGTGTGGACGTGGAACAATGCAGCAGTACAACACTCGGAGAATAACAGTGCAGTGTTTTCTGTATGCAACAGCAGCGGCAGTACGCCAACAATGCAGAGCAGCAGCGCTCTGCACGGCACAGCAGATGGGAAGGCCAGCACAAGATGCAGCACTAGCAGTGCGCAGGACACACACGCGGCAGCACGCACAATATCAACACAGCAATGGGGAGTACGCAATGCGTTAGCAACACAGGCATAGCTGTAAACCCCTTATCAGTGCCCCACCTTATTCGAGACAAATTCAGACCTTATTGGTCACCCCGTGCCCCTTATACATGTCAACGTTCATCCTACAAAGTCACATCACAGCAGCTCGCGATACAGCACAACGCAGCCGGACAGCACATTACGAGCACAGTGAAACTCATTGCAGTATGCAGCAGCAGCAGCAACAGCACGTGGTTTTCCTCTCCTCTTGCAATACCACGTGATTGTAAGACAATGCAGGACGCCACAAGGTGGCGTAGGACGCGCCCCGCCGCGGAGATGGAGCAATGAAATCCCACGCCCTTGCAGGGGCTAGGCTGATTGTTGCCTTGCAGGACCGTACATTTAGAGCCCTTTGTCAATCCACTCCTGTGGGCCACGGAAATTATTTCACCTAACTTGACCATGCTGGTTAATTATGGTCCAAGCACTATCCAGGCTTTAAGCCTGCTTAGCGTGCGAGAGCTCGTGAGATTGGGCGCAATTCTGGGTGATTTTCTCGCAAGCCCCAGTACAATATGGGACTCGAGTATTTAACTTTTCGCAGCACGGCATGCAAACACGGTGCACTGTGGCTGCTTCGCGACACCACGCTTTGTACGGTTCAGTTGCGCCAACCACTGTCCTTGACGCCGGCCATCGAGGTAGCCACCTTGATACTGGCCTTAGCCTAGAGCAGGGTTCGCCAACTAAAACAACAAAAAGAGAATTTTTTTTTTCGAATTCTGTGAAAAACCGCCAAATATTTCCAATGCGTGTGAATACGAGACCGGGGTCCTTAATATATAACGCTGCGGAGCAGTCGTTTATGAGCCCCAGATTGCTGACCCCTGCCCATGGTGAACTGGACTCCCATGGTAAACTGGACTTCCATGGTGAACTGGACTTCCATGGTCAAGGGTCCGCAACCAAAATAACAATAAAAAATTTTTTTTCGAATTTCAAGAGCCGCACTGCAGCCCTTAAAAGATCCGCAGGTTACCATCCCCTGGTCTAGAGGACCTGGCCTTGCCTGGCCATGACACTGACCTCAACCTAAACATCTCCAGGCCGTAGCCTTGGCTTGCGCCTTGTGGCTCCCACGTAGACCTGCTGCCACCCTGTCACGGTTGTCCGAAGATTGTCCCCTTTATGTCCTGGGAAATCTAGAATAAGTCTTCCCCGTGACGTGAAAGGTCTTGCTTTCTGTCCGTTGCGTAAAAAATACACCATTCGAGACAATATGTTTACGTGGTTCTCTGGTCATCTTGTATTGTGAGGTTTTCATCTTTTTACCACGGAGTCTCCCCCCCCCCCCCCCCTACTGCTTTTAACTTATAGGTAGTAACCCTCGCTCATGGCCTCAGCCTTGGCCTTGGCATTGGCCTTGCGGATCCAGGTCTTTAATCCAAGACTGATTTCCGGCCAAAAGGTCGTGGCACAGCTTGGGAGTCTGTGCCGTTCTATTTTGATCAGATCACCGGGGGAAAGAGCGCACGGCAGCGATAGGCGTCAGTGGTTGGCATGGGCACCCCCGGGTTGCAACGAATTAAATGGGGATGGTCCTACTGTCCAATTTCCTCATTGCCCCTTTATAACCTGGTGCCTGGGCACCCTCACCCCCCTCGAGCCCCCCCCCACACCACCGGTAAGCACGCTTGGCAAATGTACGGTGTGAAAGAAGTTCAAGCGTACACACATCCCGGTGGGGCTCGGTGAAGTTGCGCCGCCTGCAGTTGTGATGGGACAAGTTGCGTCAAACATCCCCGAGTGTAATTCTGTCGTAATTTGGCAATTTGCCATCATCATTATTATTCGTGTTTTTTTTATATTCCAGTTGTGCTGTACGTGGTTAATGTCGCTCAGGGTAGGTCAGCCACGCTGAGCTGGTGCCACCGATTACCCGGTTTCAAATCTGTGCAAACATCCGTAGTGTCTAAACCGGATTCTCAAGTGGAGCCAGTTGATTGTCTCATCCTGGCCACCCTTGACTTCACACGCCGCTACCGCCCCACCACCACCACCACCCTCATATGAAATTTGGTTTTGCATTAAATTTGACTACATTCCTCCTCGAAGAATGGAACCAATCAATTTTGATTGACATGTGATGAACACTCCTTGCAAGGCATGTACATTGCGTGGCCCTCGAGTGGGATGAAGTGGCCTTTTGAAGTTGCTTACGAAGTTGTTCTACGAAGTCACCCAACGCGGCCATTCTCCGGCACGGGGTGATGTGCTGCTATCTTCGGATTTCCAAATGCAAAAATATTGCCCTCTTCGTGACGTGACGCTGTTAGGGCAGTTGAAATATAATTGAGAGAGAGAAAAAACCCCATCAATTTCCACCGTGCTGCTAGTGTCATGATACAAAGACATTCTGCAGTGAGCAGTGCACCACCTTGTGTCAGAGAGTGGGCCCCAGAAAACAGTGTCGCAGAGAGACTTGTTCACCTGTTATTCAGCCAGGTGAAACGCACTTGAATTGATATCCCGCACCTCCAATTAGCACGGTTGGCTACGTACGGTACGAAAAAAGTTCAACATACATATCCCAGATGGTAGCATGCTGACATTGGCGCAAGTCTGGTGATAGATTTTAAGATTAAGTCAAATGAAAGTTGAATGTATTGGTCATCATTGCCCTTCGTCAGGACTTCCGCTGTGATGTCTTATTTGTTTATTTACTTGCCAATTCCCATCGGTCACGCGCCATGAGACGAATCATGCACTCGGATCTCTCGGAACAGGGCCAATCCATCACGGTAGAGAATGTCCCGGGGAAGAAGATACCGCAGAGCCAGCTCTAAGAGCCCTTCAAGTGATATGCATATGAGAGTAATGTTCATCGTGTAACGATAAAACCGTTAATTTCATTTGCAGAGCTGTAATTTGGCCAAATTCGTTGCAGTGACGTTTAATCTGATGGGTTTATTTTTGCGCGCAGTCGTTGGTGACCAGGCCTAGTCCCATCAACTGACGACAATTTAGGTCGCCCATTTGCTCACGGGCGGCTGGAACCCGGATTCGAACCCAGGTTCTCAGCGGTGCCGGCTGAGCGCTGTGACCTCTTAGCCACCTGGTCATCTCGACATTTTTTTTCAAATAATAAATAGACCTGGGTGAACCACGGTAAGGTGTTGGTTATGGCCGAGGGCACATTTGCCTCGAAAGATGATGTATAACGAGATAAGAATAACAATGACAGCAGCTTAAAGATATTTTTCAAGGCTTCTTTTTTTCAAACCGTCAACAGTCTGGTCAAGTTTTCTCCGTACACCATGGCAGGGAATGGTGGGGCGGCACTTGCCGCCCTTGCTAGCGCTCTTCACTCGTTTGCCGGCAGCGTTTCTCTCGTTCGCCGGGCTACTCTTGAAGCCCCGGGCGCAGCGGTGGCGCAGTGTTTAGCAGATCTCGCTTTGAATCCGTTTCCCCAAGTTTGACGACGAGCGGTATCCGAGAGAGTCCTGGGTCCTCTTCTTCGCCAACCAGCACTGACCAGTGTGGAGGAGGAATCTCCAAGACCGAAAGATGGAGTGAGGTCTTCATTCAGCAGTGCATTGGTCATGGCTAATGATAATGATGATGCGCTTCTGCGGCCGTCTGGAACGCTCTTCCTTCCAACAGGAATCCACTGGAGCTATGCACTTTTAAATAATCTAGATTGAAAACTAATTTCTTTAGAATTGCTTTTGG